AAGCAAAAGGTGGGTGTGGCTGGATAACCACACTTCTGGTAACATGGGGGTGTGGCCTAATGTGCTAATGAGCTGTGCTGTCAGGGGTGTGGCCTAATATGCTAATGAGTTTCTGCTGTTGGGTGTGGCCCATTATACTAATGAGTTCCTGCTGGGCTTTTTTTACAAAAAGAGCCCTGAATTCAGCTAACCTGAGTGGCAAACTGCAGCTCAGAAATCTTGCGGCGAAGCTATTTTGAGGAGGCTGTGTAAACTACCTCCATGTGAAACATGAGAACAGAAACCTATCAGAGATTCATACTTGCAGTTATTCGACCAAAAAAATGGCCTTTTATATATTTCAATGTACACCTTTCATATCTGAATTGTTCAACATGTTTTCAGACCTTAGACCATCATGATTTTGGCAGGTGTCACTGTGTAAACTTCCAATCTGAGCATATGTTCAATGATTCATAAAAACAAAATATATGTGAATGTCTACCACAATATAACTCAAAAGATACCTTCAAATGAAAGTAATAGACACATGCCAAGCAGAAGAAGGAGAAATGGAACTGAGCACTATATTGACTCCAAATGATGAAATTCTTCTTCTGGATCAAGAATAGCTCTACTAGCAGACTATGACTGATTCCTTTTAACGGCTGCATTAAATATACTTCCTATTATAGCAAAGCAGATCTGCTAAATTTATGAATATATTAAATAACCCAATTTGCACATTTACAAATAATTTGCACATAGCCCTAATATAATAATCTGTGTTGAAGACACCGGGTGGAAGTAATAGTAGCAGCAATGCATTTCACTTTCAAATTTCCTTTCGTGGATCCTCTAAGATATGAGTGTGTGGGAACAGATGCATTTTGGGATAAAGCAGAGATGACCACAAGGGGCCAATATTGGTCAGGAAACAACCTCTTGGGAAGGTATTCCAGAGAAACCGGCAATAGTTGCATTGACCAATATCTCATCTGTTGTTCAGTGTTTGTGCTATACCTAATGTTCTTGTCTCCTTTAAGGCAGGTTCATTACAATTCATTAACAGGTTCATCAACTCCCATAGTTTTATTTCAAGTGTCATGCCTTCAGGAATTTTTCTAAAGCTCTAGCAATGAGAACATCTTGAGTGCATTGATTAAAAAAAAAAACTGGAAAAACCCAGATATTTGTCTTCTTTTTGATCCCACAGAAAGAAATAGTCCTCTAATGTTAGATATAGTTATGCATTTTTGTAATTTTGTAATGTATAATTAGAACCTTACAGTTATTATTTCTTCTCTCCCATTATTATCTGTTGCAACATCTTATATTCTAATAGTGAAGCCAGTCAGTCTTTGGATACTTAAATCCAGTGACTAGAGCTGTGAACACACAAGACATATCTTTCTAAAAACCTGAAAAGGGTCCCAGATTTGCAAAAAAAAAAAAAAAAGGTGAAATCTAAAATGGTCAAATGAGTGCCTCTACAATGTCTTTAATAAAGAAATTCCTTCAATGGCTGTTGCTAGGGAATCACAGAGTTCCAAGCCTTGGTTCTGTCAGTAAAAGGCAAGAGGAGGGTACAGCATCCTTTCCGGGCCTATTTTACCCTTTTAAGGAGAGCATCTTGGGGCCAGGCCTGGCTAGGATTGTCACCTCCAGGTTGGGGAATTCATGGAGATTTTGTGGTAGAGTCTGAGGAGGATAGGGTGTAGGGATGGGAGAGGCCTCAGCTGAATATAATGACACAGAGTCCACCCTCCAAAGCATTCATTTTCTCCAGGGGGAAAGATCTCTGCAGTATGGGTTTCAGTTGCAATTCTGGGAGGTCACCAGGTCCCACCTGGAGACTGGCGATCCTATGCCTGGAAGCAACCTCCGGGTGACTTGATACCACCTGGCTTGCATGACTGAACTAGGATACTAAATGACAAAGGAAATGTGAACTGCAATTCCACTTTGTTCCCTTCTTCCGGAACTGATGTATCACATTCAGGGTGTGCTGTAAAAATGAAACTACATCAACGTTCCCTTCAACTTGTCCAAAAAGCTTTGACATCTGTAATGCAAACTACTCAGTCCAGGCCCAGTAGAGAAATGTGTGATGCAACTGGATAGCGGTAAGTAACCTACACTTGGTACAGAATGCTGCAGCCAGAATGCTGACTGGAATGGGCCATAGGGACCATAACACACTGGTCTTTTTCCATCTATGCAGGATCCCAGTTTGCTTTCAGGCCCAATTCAGGGTGCTGGTATTGACCTTTAAAGCCCTATACAGTTTGGGGTCAGTATACCTGACGGACTGTCTACTCCCACAAGAACCTACTAATCCAAATTGGAATCCTGTAAAGTAATTGGGATACTGATTTAGCATTGAAAAAATGGATGACCGCAGGTACATATTAGTCACCCTTCACAAAAAAGAAACATGCAACAGTAGACATACTGCACTTGACTAAATAAATTGCATGTTTCTGCTGTGCTGTCCAATTATTATTATACTGAAAATTTACTCCCAAAAATTTAAAGTGTTTTACTTGTTCAATGTCATTACCTTTAATGCACCAGTTAAAACATCTCAAAAACAAAAAAAAAGAGCTCAAAAAACCCATGATTTTTGATTTCTCAAAATTAACAGATGATAGGTTGGTCTCACAATAGGATACAAATGCAAGTAAAAGGTGCTTAAGACTCTTCAGGGAGTTAGATAGCACTACTGCATCATCCGTGTATAGTAACAAGCAGACAGAGTGAGGGCCAACTTTAGGAAAGTGTCCATCTACCACTCACAGAGTAGAAGCTAGGTAATTCATAAATATGTTGAATAAGTAAGGAGCCAAAATGCATCCTTGTTTGACTCCCTGAATAGAAGGGATTTTATGTATTGAATTACCCAGTGGACTATATTGAACTTGACAGATAGTGGAAGAATGTATTTGCGGATAAGGAAAAGTGAACATTTATCCATTCTCATCATGTTCAACTTATTCCACATAAGATTCCTAGGTACAGAATTGAAGGCACCCTTTAGATTGAGGAAAGCAGAGAATATTTTTTCCCACCCACACCACTGTATTTCTCTACCAAGTCAGCGAGGGTAACACAATGATCCAGGGTAGATTTACCAGGGCAGAAGCCAATCAATTCTAAGCTCAAAAGATTTTGATCAGACATCCAGGCAGTAAACTAATCCAGCAAATGCCTGCATAAAGTTTGCCCACAATTTAAAGTAGGATAATTGGGCAATAGTTCTCTGGCAATTTGGGATCACCTTTTAACAAACTTGGTACAACGATAGCATTAATCCACATATCAGGCACAATCCCAGTTTTATCTATTAGCCAGAGGAGGGGCCCACCATTCTAGGTGATTTTTTAATAATTCAGGAGGTAGCCTTTTCAACTTTCAATTGCTCAATTAAATATTTAGTTTCATTAGGGCTAACTGGATGCCATTCAGGTAAATCAGGAGGGAATGTCTCTCGTTGACCAAGAGAAGTAATTGAAGAATCATAGAATATATTTGAAAAATAACCTGTCGAAGCCTGACCTGATACAGGGCAATCAGGAGATTGGCTCCTATCAAAGAAGACACCTGCAACTACAGACCAATTTTTTTTGCTATTTTTGGCTAAGGAAGCATTTACATTAGGTGTTATTTGATTGTTTTAAATGTTTCACGTATATCTGTATTATAAATGCTTTTTTAATGTTTGAAATGTTTTAATGTTCACTGCCTTGGGGACCTTGAATTGGGTGGAGAGATGGCATAGAAACGTTTTAAATAAATGGATATTTGGAGAGGAAAACTGGCAGTGCCATATTTTATTGGACTTAAACTTGATGGGAAGGAATGGTTTTTAAAATGTTCATTGGCAAATGTTCCATATTTAAAAACAGTAAAAAAGAAAATAAAACAAAGAAAACTGCAAGTGAAAAGAAAGAAGCTAAACAAAGAAAAGATGAGGGTATACTTCCCAGCAGCATCAGGCAGAATATTTAAGGGAGATATAAACACTATGTAGTAATCAGCCAAATCTACAGCATAGCTCAAGAATTATAATCTTTCTCATTTCAAAACAATACATCTCAGTTTACAGGCCAAGAAGGGAAAAACAGTGAATGGAAAAGGCCCAAGTTATGGCAAAGTCATATTAGAGACAACTGCTAATTCTGTTTCAACTTGAATTTTCAGCATGTCTTCTCTTTATGAATGTAATGGCCTCCATCTCTTCTTTACAATCACCATCCTCCTACAGTACCAGTGTAGTTAGGAACATAAGAAAAACCTTACGAGATTAGACAAAAAGTTCCCCTAGTCCATTTTATTGTTTCAGTGTCAGCCAGACGCCTCTGGGAAGCTGACAAACAGGAAATGAAAGTAACATTCCCTTCTGTTGCTCC